TAAAGATATATTAGTCAGTGACGACACTGGATCAACCAACTCCAAACCTGCTATCCAATCGGCATGAATGCGAGATTATCTTGCTAAAACATAAAGGTCCTGTCAATCATTCCTAGCAGCCGATACATCTCAATCTACCACTAAGGCAACTAGCTTAATATCACCCATCTACCCCCTCCCCTATTTTTTTAAGGACATTGTTCCAAATAAACTTACTTGCCCAATATATTGCACTTTTCATATAGTAACTACGTCAGCTTTCCTTATTAAGATTGTTGCCGTTGATTAACTTTAATCCGGAAGTAGAAATCGTCAGTTTCATGAGGCGGTTATTCTTTGGGCGAGTTGACGACTTGAGACTATTTGACCTTTATTCAAAAATATATTTTTTCATATAGATAAATATATATTGGCATTTAGCTTGTGAGTTTTTAATGACATTACCTTTTTTGTAGCTACACATACATTTAACATTTAAAAAAAATGAATTTTCGTCCTTTTAATTAAACATTTCCTCGTTTAGAATGTGGTCGAGATGTAGCGGTAGACTACTTCGCTCGCAATGTGACGTGCAATAGCTTTCGTTTCGATCACGTGTATGCTTAGTATTTAAAGTAAAAAACATGACTAGATTGATGTTGAAGGGATTATCGGTATACTTAAATTTCCACCGCCATTCTCGATTTAGATTGACAACTTTGTATTTGTTTTCTGTTCTATGTATATGATGGATATGATTTGTGTCTTGAGAAAGTGACAGATTGCCTAGGAAATTTAACAGTCAGTTTAAAACGAACATGTTTAATTTATGCTCGCTTTTAGGCACAGCTCATTTAATATTACACATGAACTGGCCTGTACAATAATACATACGTGTTGAGATTAAATCACACCATGTTACTCGAAGCTATCGTTTAAGTTTAAATCAGATTTTTGGGTCAGGTTTACACAGGTGACCAGTCGGCTGTCAAATTAAGTGAGCGGAGGGAATGATCACCTATAATATAAGATGATTAGTACAGCCCAACATATTTCAGATAACCTAGAATTTCATTAATCTCAACAGTTTCAAAAAGGGTCTTTGGTTAGACTTGTAATGTTACGATAAGAAATTCTCGAATAGACAGAAAGTCTATGCAGTCGAATAAAAATGTTAAATGTTGAATGGCTCATCATATTCTATGCACCGAGGGTTATATTCGCCTTTCCACATGTATGCATAATGTATGTATGGCCCACCCGAAGTGGTTCTATTCCTTCTGCCACAGAGCTGTTAAAATAGTTTGGTAAATGAGTTCAAATCAGTAAAATGAATTTTAGAAATAACTGGTGGCAGCGATAAGCATCCTTTGCGGCACGATATGCTTTTTCATTGCCTGGTATTTGTTAGAAAAACATACAGTTTCCCTACTCGAAAGATATTGAAAGTCTCAACTGAACCGAGGTAGTAAAGCTACCATGCGTATAGGACACATTCTTTAGCTGATTCATATCACTTGTTTGACTTATACTATCTTCTGATATATCTTTTCGGTGTGGGTGGATTTGAATTCACTGCTCTGATATCCCTTTATCAACTTGCCCTTCCGTATCTAAATTGGTATTTGGAGGTGTTTTAAAGCTACGTTTCTTTTCAACAAAAAATTTATTGATTTATCCAACAATGCATAAAACAATTATACGTGTTTACCAAATTATAGCAGTAGGTCCGATTTACAGTGTAACTTACATTAATTTATGTCAATATAGTTTGTACCTAACAATTATTCAGAAACCACTTTGTGATGTTTAGTAATGGACACACCTACTGTCTATTTACTTGACCTATGATAGGAATATTTTTATCTCGTGCCTGCACGAAATAAAGCCATATCTGCAAACCGAAAGATAGAGACTTTTCAAGCACAATGAATACAGTCATGAAACTGAAATATCCTTATCAAACCTTACATATTTCGTTTGTATGAAGGATTAATTGATAGTAATTCTCCACGCATAACGTTTTAACTTCATTCATGAGTGGGCTATTCCTATTTTAAATGGAAATGTGTAAAACTACAAAGTGAAAATTCCATCGATCTCGTATACATGAAAACTGATGCAAGAATCGGGGATCAAAATATGCAGATTACGTGAAGAAAATTAAATAACAAGATATTCAAATACATGTTTATATATGTTCAATTTCTAATTTTAGACACTTGATAAGGCGAAACTTTGCTACTTATACAAAAAGTTTTTTTTTTTAAATGAATTCATGTGTTTTATTTTAATACTTCAGCAGGTTTTGTCCAATGTTTTCATGTGGTCACATCATCAAATAAAGTCATGAGATAGCTATATAAGCTTCTGTTCAGTCGTTAACACATTCATGTATAGAACTTACTATCATTGTCCAACGATGCTACAGATTCATTTTGTTACTGCCCAATATCACTCTAGAGCGGATGATAAATTCAAAATTAATTTGGTATCTGGAATCCAATCACGTAATATCACCACTACAGAGTGGTTTTAGATCTAAGCGAGGTACCAAGTATCATTTGGTTAGACTTGAAACTTGCATGAGACTTTTCGAGGAGCACTTGGTCTTTGGTAAAGGCTTTCGACACAACGTGGAAATACGGCATAGTGAATGATCTGCATGACATAGATATTAAAGGTATTCTACCAATTCTATCAAATCCGGAATGGAATGACCCTTTCCGATGTTCATCGGCATGAAATGGGTATACCAGAAGTCTGCAATTTTAACACATTTTGGAATTAACAGCTTTGCCAAAACATTATCCCCTTCAATAGACGGAGCTCTTTATGTAGATGACTTCATAATATGCTATCGATCTAAGCATATGAATACCATCGAAAGACAACTACTGCAATGCTTCAATCGACTACAAATTTGGGCAGGTGGAAATGGTTTTAAATGTTCACAATCAAAAACAGTTTGTATGCATTTTTGTCAAATTCGGAAACAACACGACCATCCAAATCTGTCTTTCTGTGGTGTACCCTTCCGGTTGTTGAGCAAACTAAAGCATTAGGTGCCCCACACTGATTGGGAAGTTTTGCTATGACTATATAGAGCTCTTATTAGACCGAAATTAGACTACGGTTCCATCGTGTATGGATCTGCTAACCTTCATTTATAGTTATTGGACATTGTTCATCACCAATGTCTCAGGCTCGCTATCGCAGCTTTTAAGACCACACCTAAAACAAGCCTATATGTAGAGGCTAACGAACTATTATTATATAGCCGTCGAAATGAATTGACTTTGCAATATACCATTCAGCTTAAGTCAAATCCTTCAAATCCTCTTTTTTCCTTGACTTTGACCCAAATATAAAACCTTGTTTCAAAACAAACCAAAACCTATTCTGTCATTCGGTATTCGACTTTCCATTGTTATACAAAAGACATATATTGATATTGACCAAATTCATTCATTTGGAGCGAAGAAATTCCACCCTGGCTCTTGAATTCACCTGGTTTTGACTTTCCCCTTCATGAAATGGTAAAAACAGACACAGTCAGTTACACTTTTTGTTCATCCTTCTCGAAATTGCAGTTGAAATATAAAACATTTCTACATCTATATACTGATGGTACAAAGATAATAAAATTAGGTAATTTAATTAGGCTATAACAAGGTTACACACGCACACTTGTTCGTCTGCTTTCCCTACGGAAATATACTTGGGAAACTTACTTGAAAAAAACAACTTATGTTCAAAATAGGTGATTTGGTTATAATTGGATCCATTGGCAAGCAGGGAGTTATTAAAAATTCTTCAATGCCAATCGGAACGTATGACACGCAGCCGCCAAGTTCGAATTCACTCACCTCACAGAATCATCAAAACAATAAACACAACAGCGTTCCCTGTGTGACACAAATGCTTTATCATTCACTATCTTCAAAGGGTGTTCAATGCAATGAGGTATTTTTAACACCGATAGCCAATGAACACAAGTGACATGGATCACGTGACATACAAATTACGTTATTCCAAAAGATCGATTAGATAATCTGTGTTGAGTTTGTGTATATATATTGAAGCCACCTGATCAATACATTCACATCCAAATTGGTTGTCTGTAATGAACATTACGCCTTTTTATGCTTAACTGTTACGTTGATGGAAATTATATTTTGTGCGGGATATCACAATAATGCGTGTCGCGGTTGTGACTGTCTCGTTGCTACATATTCATACGCTGTCCACGTGTTTTTGTTTACAAATATTATATTTCGTCTTTACACTCAGCGAGAGAACAGGGGAAGAGAAAAATATTCATACTCCCCCTCGGCAAGCCTCGTGTTTGACAACTTAATAACTCCCTCGGGTTGAGATACCCCTATCTCACCCCAAACGGGATGAATGATTTTTATAAGACCATTCCCGTCTTCAGATGGCCCATACAAACATTACAAATTCGTATATGTTGAAAGGTGAAGATAATCCTCTGTGCATAGGATGTGGTGAGCGATTTAACCTTTTCTTATTGGACTGCATTGATCATCTGTCTACTCGAGAATGTTTTTTTTCATAAAAATGACATGTCTGAAAAACCGTTTTTGTAACTGTTAAAATGAATAAAATTCTACATTACCTGAAATATGTTGGTTTATATAACAGACTCTGGCATACGATTTTAATATTTTGTGTTAACATATCCATTTTAGGTTTTTAACATTTGTCTTTTACCCTTTAGTTTGTTTAATCTTATTTCCTTTTGGATCACTGTGTGTTACCATTTAATGACCCTAATGATATTTTATTGTGTTGATAATTTAATAATAACACTATTTTTGTGTTAATATAGGCATTTAAGAGTTTTAGCATTAGTCTTTTACGTTTTGGTTTGTTAAATGTTAATTCCGTTTGGATCACTGACATTTTGTTTTGACGGACCGTTCGGAATGAAATAATACTAATTATTTTTTTCTGTTGATATTTTCAGGCAAAATTATTTTACACTTTATGTTGACATCATGTATGTGTTAGAAGCAGACACTTTGCCGGCGTCAGCAAGATCTTTAATGGAGAATAAAACAATACTGGTTGTTGGGAATGATCAAATAAGTTGGGTCTGGATTCGATCAACCCTGAAGAATTATGGCATCAAAGTAAGTCTGACAAATATTTATTTATAATATTTTTGCTAATGTACTCCTTTTGACGTTTTCCTGTTAAGGTCCTTCACTTTACTATAATACTGGTAGTCTTGAATGAAATGAAATGAAAACTTAGTACTTTTGTCTTCTCTCTGGTAATATCCAAGTGCCATATCATTACACTATAATGAAGGATAATAGTTTGTTTTGGAAAAGGTTGTTGGGAAAATAACAGGGAGTGTCTATTATTCAGAAAAAAAATATTAACAAACTGCGAAATTATTTCCTGATGCACATATTTTGCCTCCTGTGCTGGACAAAACAATGAAACATATCGGTTTCTTGGTAAATTTTCATTCTAAAATGTCTCTATAAAAAGTTTAATACTGGGATCTTCTTGTTTCTAAGATTTGTTCATCCGTATTAATCAAGTCTTTCCATTATTCCGGTGATTTTAAGTGATTCTATTAATACAAATTGCGTCTTTTTGTCTTGTTTCAGCTTGTTCTTGTCGTATCAGAATCAGTCACCTTTTCTCAAGATGCATTCAAGTGCATCCAATACGATTTCAGTGATCATAGCTTGGATGAAATTCATGCCGAGGAAATCATCAATATATTGTTAGATCTCAACTTGAACATAGATGGATGCTGCACTTTCACAGATGAATGTGGACCATTGACTGCTTATTTGTGCGAGAAACTGACATTGAGTGGAGGTGTTGGCGTACCTGGGGCAACGAATGTTCGGGATAAAAGTAGAACACATAGTTATCTGCGCCAACAAACCGATGGCTACTACAATTTTCCCTTGACGTACAATTATACAGGCAGGAGCACAGTGATAAACAGCGAAAACACGTTGCAATCGGCTATACAAACTATTGGATTTCCAGCGGTCTGTAAACCAGAACATGGAGCAAATGGAAAGGGAGTAATGATGTTTTGGAACAAAGAAGAATATGAAGATGTGTACCAAAAGCTTGAAAATACACTCAAAGATGGACATTCAATCATGTTGATGGAATATTTTGATGGCACTGAACATGACATCGAGGTTATCATTTATCAAGGGGAGGTCCTTGCTGCAATTGTTTCAGATAATGGTCCGACAATGCCTGGGTCCTTCGTTGAAACATCAATGTCCATGCCGTCATGCCTTTCCCCGTCCGATATCTCAAAACTGAGGACAGCAGCATCGGACTGCTGCATAGATATCGGTTTGCGGAACGGAGTGTTTAATGTTGAGATGAAGTTGACATCAGTGGGTCCAAAACTGATCGAGATAAACGGACGTATGGGTGGAGATTATATACGGAATTGGATGCATATCTGCTACGGATTCGACCTACTTTGGTATGTTGTCGTGATTGCTGCAGGCATTAGACCTCCTATTCCGACAGTTGAAACAACCGTTCACATGATGGGAGTAACGTGTGCATTGCCTGTGCATGAAAAGTTACTTTGCTACAAAGAGTTTGGAGCAAAAGTTGATCAGTTGATTCAGTCGAGACAAGTTCATTTCTTTGGCGAGAAATTTGTTGAAAGTAAAAGCATTCCCACCAAAAATGCAGTTGCTATATGCAATATTGCAGTTGTAAAACCGGACTTAGTTAGTGCTAAATCATCACTGCTTGATATTTGCGACTTACTTGATATAAATACCACTCTTTTTCATGTACCGACATATCTTTCAGATTTTGCTCCAACAAAAGTGTGATGTGAATTCTTTTCAAGACATGGAGATAAAATGGAAAAAAAAATGCTTTAGACTTCTGTCAAAACATCAATTAAGCGTAATTATTATAGATAGACCTAACATCAGTGTGACGGACAAACAAAATGCAGAATGATATATACGCATTCTGTAAAGCAACGTCAATCGATAACATTTAAGCCGAAGCAAAACAGATAACTGTCCTGCAGATAGCTAGAAGATATCATTCGGAGAATTACTAGCAAAATGATCATTGTAAAAAATGTATTAAATGCTGTCAATGCATCAGAGTGAATATGACTTTTCTTGATTTTTTTTTTCTTAATGAGAAGTGTTTATTATTTTTGTTCTAGATTATTTCATGATCATACGTAAGTCAGTCACATACTCTAAAACAATGATTAAGCAACGTGTTTTTTTCATCCGACAATATTCATTATGTTATTCCCGATATAGTCATGATTTCTGAAGATGTCAAAATAAGATCTGATTTTATTCAATATTTTATCGTTATGGAATTGGATGATAATAGAGAGAATAATACATAAATCCTAATGTCTATTTGAAAGAAACGCAATCGCGGCTCTCTAGGCAACCATCGAGACGAAGTTGTCCTTGCTATGACAGTATAGAGCTCTTATTAAATCAAAATTAATTAGACTACGGTTCCATCGTGTATGGATCTGCTAGACCTTCATATTTAAAATTATGGGACACTGTCCATCACCAAAGCCTCAGGCCCACTCTCGGAGCTTTTAAGACCGCACCTACAGCAAGGCTATATGTAGAAACTTACGAGCCATCACTATATAGCCGTCCAAATCAATTGGCTTTGCAATACACCTTTCAGCTAAAGTCAAATTCTTCAAATCCTGCTTTTTATTGATATTGGCCAAATTCATTCAAATGGAACGATAGAAAGTCCACCCTGGCTCTTGAATTCACCTGGAGTTGACTTTCCTCTTCATGAAATGGTTAAAACAGACACAGACAGTTACACCATTCGTTCATCTTTCACGAAATTGCAGATGAAATATAAAACATTTCTACATTGATATAATGATGGTTCAAAAAATAATGATAAGTTTGCTTCGGCCATGGTTACACAAGATGAAACATATGGGTGCCGGCTACCGAACAACGCCTCAATATTCTCGGCAGTAGCGCGAGCTATCTACCTCGCCCCTGAATATATTCAAAGAAACAAAGTAATTAGAGCTGTTATCCATTCACACTATCTTTCTGTTCTGCAATCTTACCAATAGAAATATCGAAGATATATTCATATATACATTGATACTATATCATGAATTTGGCTTTAACTTGCTTTTTGCTTGATTTATGGTCACAAGGGAATTTTGATCTAATGAGAGCTCTATAAAGTCTTACAAAAGCATGTCTATCAACTATCAGCTATCTATTAATACTTTATATACTTATTTTCATTATGACACATAGACATGTCTAAATTTAACATTGAATTCATATATATATATATGTTTGACAGAAGGTAATGGCATCATGCATGTGATAAAAATGATAATCAAGGTAAACATTTCCAAATATATAATTTGTATTAAAGGCATACCATACTTACAATAATAATGATATAGTCGTCATAAATTTTTCTGTGGATAAAAGTACTAAAACAATAAAATAAATTTGATAGCTTTCATGTCTATGATAGTTTTTCCTAAAATGTTTTTTATGTACTACCTCTATATAACATCTGATTAATCTCTCCATATCTACTTTATGATTACCAGAAAAAAAGTGTTTGCGAACGTGTCATTCATGTAAGGGCCATATATCAGAGAAACTGTCAGGACTTAATGACATCACAAATGAGTTGAATAACAAAAAGATCAACAATATTCATCAGATCAGAGCTAAAGCATTTTCAGTCCCACATCAATAAATTTGCACTAACATTCACGCAGCAAAATCATTGACGGTGAAAAATGCCAATAGTCGACAAAAAAAAAAAAAAAAAACATTTATTTCCAGGCGACTGGTTTAGGAGGTCATCTGGATACGCCAGTAGGATATACATTACAAGTCACCGACTTACCTACCAAAGGTAAACCATATATATTGCCTTGAGTGTCAGAAGGTCTAACACCAACGAGACAACAACAGAGGCCGGCGAAAATAATTGATTTGAACATTTTTAAATAAAACGACGGAGCTGTATGGTAATGTTTCTTAAAAAGATGAAATATTTTATTCGAATATTGGCGTGTTCAATGTAATCGTTTTTTTTTTCTCTCAATATAAGCAACTGACATATGGACAAGTGCTCTGTGGTCGTAAGGTTTAATCGACTTAGCGTTTGATATTACGAACTCCTCTCTTTTTTGGAAATTTCTTGTTTGTTATGCCATTAAAAACATGAAAATGCATGATTAAGTAGATTTCTATATAAAAAAGATGGATATGGACATCAAATTAAAATCATTTATGGGAACATTCCGAGCTGGGGGATATGGCATAAAAGCTGAAGGTAAAATTAATAATTTCTGCCTTAATTCTCCAAATATAGTCATTTCTTATTTTTGTTACAGGTACTTAAGCAAAAAGTGTTAAGAGATATGCGGCAATCGTTTCATCTTGGCGTTGAATACTGATAGCAAAACAAAAAAAAAAAAAAAAAAACGTTATCGTCCTGATTTATGGCAGAACACTTTTCGAAATACTCGAAAGGTTAAAAAAATACTTCCTCAATGAAATGCCAAGAGACTGAATCAAATATTTCTCGCATTTTGTATATGTTTAGCATCAAACAGTCTACTCATCAGTTAAAAAAAAGATTTCGAAAATGATAATTTGAATTTGAAACTGTTACCACGAAACTCGACGAAAATGTTGTCAACCAGAAACCCGTTTATTTTCATTATTTCGTCATCAGTATATTTCTTAATTGCTATGGGAAAATGCAGGTTCTTATGTAGAATTGCGTCTTCTTCGCAAAGCCTGATAACTTTCTAAAGAATGGCTGAGGGTTCTACTTTAATTTTTCAAATACTTATTACTTTATTATAACGTACTGAACTTACAAATTATAAGTATTGCCTATATTCGTAAGCTTTACTCCTCCGGTTTTGTGTACTCTATTATCATGATTAACGTTAACTTCAACGGTGCATTGAAATACTTTTCGGTCGATCAATCAAATTGATGTTTTGCATGTTGCTAGATATAGGTATTAAACTTTTGTGTGATTTTTATATTTTGATTGCTATTGAAATTGCGTCCACAGTTGCCTCTGAGTAGGTACACCCATTGTATGCTAACAGACACAAATGTCCGTTAGATGCTTATATGAAAACATATATGAAGTAAACACAACCGTACAGACAATTGAATTTGTCACATTCATTTCTCTTTTGGGGCAACAATATTACCTAAATTACATCACACACAGAACGTAAAACAAATACAACATTATTAATTGAAATCGAGAAAGGTACTGTGAATTCATAAATCTCGTTAATCTGTTTAATGTCCATTTCATATGTATTACTCTCATTTTTCAACAAAATGTAAAGACTAAGTGTGTTAAAACGGGCGCCCAAGCTAGTATGGATCTGGACCTGTCACGTGTTTAACCGTATTCGGGTGAACTTTATTGCCCGAGACACACCACTCGCCACTGCGTGAGGCGTTTAACGTAAGCATATACTATTGCAAAAGGGTGTACAAACGAAAAGTATTAATCTTGAATATACGTCATCAGCAATAAGTAGGACAAAAATCACAAGAGCGTGAAGAGATCTTGATACCACGTATCAATATCATCTAAATAATCACTGAGGATTGATTTTTTGCTACATCCGCGATCGAATAATTACCGTTAAATCAAACTGCCTCGAAAATCACTTTTATATTCGAACAGTAGTTCTTTAAGTTTGTTAACAAAACACAAATGTACAAATCTCATGATGACTTAGACAGGGGATGTGTGCAGTAGAAAGTCTTAACAGTATGGACGAAAAGAGGACAGAAATATTATATTAATTCAATAACCAGTTCTATATAAACTGACTGCCTCCTCTCTTGGGAAACAACATATATAGCAGAAATTGGTTTGAGGAAGCCTTAAGACGAAAGGGATTGGGATTTATGGCTAGATTTTAACTAAATGCATGAAGTATCGCCACAAATCACAAAATTTAAAGTCGGGAAGTACGACTTGGCTATCACTTTATAAAAGATATAAATATAGAAATATAAAGCCACATAAAGCCACAAGAAGTTAACTAAAGCACAATGATGACATACGTGTTTCACAAATAAATTGCAGCCACAGGCATAGTGTCTCATAAACACATCTTGTGTTTTTAAAAAAAAAACTGGTCGTGAGTGATATTTTGGTTTATGAGCTGATTTCTACGTCTGAACCGTGAATGATGAAAGAAAAATACTTCATATCTAAATTGACACACAATTACATTCATACTTTGACTGCAGTCGGCAAAAGTTTTTGTTCTTATCAAAATATCTATATATTAGATCATTCTGTAGTTTGAAATGTTATAAAACGAACAGGTATAATACATACGATGAACCAATAATCCACTTTTTATGCCTTGGCAATTTATGTTAATATGATATCATCATAGCCATTATCTATTACTATAATGAAAAGGCTATATACTACAATATTATTGATTTTCGGATAGGTTTATTTTCAATCATTTCGTGAATACTCTTCTACCTTGGATAGAGTGGTGGATAGTACTAAACGGTACCAAGGGGAGAGGGTTGTTGGGAGGTCCGTGAAAGGAAGAAGAAATCAAATCAAAGAAAGATAATATGAACGGGACGAATGGAACAGAGGCTGACTGATGTATCGGGAGAGATTCACCAACTCAACATCTTTATACATGCATTTAGATCTAATCGCTACCTATTCTCACATAAATAAACATATATAGATGTACGTCATTGTATGTACATTTTAGGTGTGTTATGTATTTTGTGGGAAGAGGGCTTGATGTAAG